CGTGGCGGCGATGTGGTTGCGGTAACACACGTGTGATACGTACAGGCGTGGCAGCGATGTGGTTGCGGTAACACACGTGTGATACGTACAGGCGTGGCAGCGATGTGGTTGCGGTAACACACGTGTGATACGTACAGGCGTGGCAGCGATGTGGTTGCGGTACTCCATGTCGGCGCTTGCGAGCAGCTTCAGTTCCTGCAGCATCATCCGCTCCGTTGCCGACCGCGTGTCGTCGATCAGCAGCTGCGTCACACCTGCGTAACGAGATCAGACGTGATGTGAGCGAGCACACCAGGGGGCGCCGTGCAGTACCAGACGTGACGCGGGCGAGCACACCAGGGGGCGCTGTGCGGTACCAGACATGATGCGGGTGAGCACACCAGGGGGCGTCGGGCGGTACCAGACGTGACACGGGTGAGCACACCAGGGGGCGCCGTGCGGTACCAGACGTGACGCGGGTGAGCACACCAGGGGGCGCCGTGCGGTACCAGACATGACGCGAGTGAGCACACCAGGGGGCGCCGTGCGGTACCAGACATGACGCAGGTGAGCACACCAGGGGGCGCCGTGCGGTACCAGACGTGACACCGGTGAGCACACCAGGGGGCGCCTTGCGGTACTGGACGTGCATCATTGAGAGTATTGCATACATTTGTTACACACAGAGCTGGTTAATTTACATTTAAGTGGCGAGTGGTACACTGATCCCCACCCATAGCATGAAGAGCCGATAAACACAACGTAATCGATGAGATTGTAATTGCGGAGCTCTCGCTGTCATTTGTTTTTTTCACATTTTAATTTTATTTTGGTGGTTTGTACTTTACTCAGCATTAGATGACTAATTAAAACTATTCAGAATGGATAAGATTTTTGCCCATTAATCCAATGCAAACAATATCACACTATATTATGCTACACTGTGGATTTACATATTCAGGACAATAGGCAGCAAGTTTGTAAAAGCTTTTTCAGCCTCGAAATAAGACGCATTCAGAAAATTCACAATCAGGCGCGAAAAAGGCGACATGCTTCTACGCGCGTGCTAGCTCGCAGGAGAGCACGCGGATAGCATCGAATGGCAGAAATGACAGGTACACGCAAGCCATTCAGTGTGCGGCTGCGACGGAACGCATCGATGCGCGCCATTCAAATAGGAAAAATCGGCGGCCATTGACGCCGTGCAATCACCGCGAAAGCGCACTCTCTCAAGATGCAACGTCGCCAAGAATACGACGCATAGAAAGTGTGCGACGTTTCAGCAGCGCACGCGTGCATTCAGCGCTGACGACAGATGCATGAGGCGTGCCAGTCACACACTCACCTTTGCTAGCCATCGCAGATTCGATGTAGTCCAGGGTCACTTCGTCCTCGCATATGTCATACGGCATATTGCCGTCAGCGTTCACGGCTAGAAGATCTGCTGATCTGCAAGTACATCGAGAAACAACGTACAGAAACACTCAGCGATAGCAATATTAAACTGGCGGCCAAAGAATATGAAATGTCATTGACATTTATATGAATTGTCAGAAACACGAATAGCTATGACTATCGCAAGCATGAAATTTCATAACATTTCAATGACATTTCACTTCAAAGGTTATGAGATTTTTGACAACACGATGATCATAAATATTCAGCCAGTTTCTGACAACAGGCCCAACACTTACAAGTTTACGCATTCAGCAGGCAAGCAGCACGTGTAATCAGCTCGCCTGTAAGCGTATGACAACAGCATCCCAGGTAGTCAACAGACAAGTGGTCAACAGGTAAGGTAACAAGTGATACAAGGCCCAATGACACATGCTACTTACTATCCGCCATTTCCTACAGCCACACCGAGACACCCACACCACCACGCACGCATGTACATACACAAACACACACGCACATGCATAAACACACTAACACGCTCGCACCCACTCACACACACAAACATGCACGCACGCACGCACGCACGCACGCACGCACGGACACGTCTCTTGAGAGGCGACGAGCGTGTGAAAGACAATGATCGTTGACGGTGCCGAGGCACACGCTAGAGCAGCGCTGCCAGCGTACTTACTTATTAACGAGTAGTTTGACTAGATGAAGGTGACCACACGTCGCGGCGGCGTGCAGCGGCGTCCACAACTCAGAATCCTTCGCGTTGACGTTCGCTCTGAATTCCAGCAGCAGCTGCATCATCTCCTCGCTGTCATCTATGCAGCACTGCGACAACGGACGCGCGAGAGCGGTGACACGTGTCACCAACGATGTGACACACCTCGCGCTCATTATGTCATCAGTGTCTGTTCAAGTCAGTTCATGCACTGTCAGCAAGTATTCGTTCAACTCCAGTCGTTCATTGAGCAAAAGGGCAACCACGTTATGCATGTATAGCAGATGTATATAAGGAGGCAAACTATTGCCCTATCTTCCCCCTGTTGGTGCTTATAATTTTCCTGATTTGCTTTTGCTAATTGCAAGCTGGACTAAGCAGGGTTAAGGTTAACATCGGTGACAATGTCAGTCTTGAGATTGCCCCAGCCGCGTGCAAGCATTGGCTGAAATCTATTTACAATTCCCTCACAATCCTAGTCGCAGGATCGAGGCAGCAAGCGTTATCGCATCACTCGCTTCACTGCACAACATTTACTTGCAGGGGGCTCTCGTGTTGCTGATAGCTGACAGCTATACTGCATACACCATCAATACCACCGACAGCACGATAGTGTCCCCCACACCATTACTACATCTGTATATGAATAAATAAATAAATAAATAAATAAATATATAGTTATAGTTATTATACCATAAATCTATAAATACAGTTTTATATATATAGTTATAGTTATTATACCATAAATATATAAATACAGTTTATATATATGTAGTATGAGCGTGGTGGAGCTACTGATGGTGGTGAATACCCTAGCAGACACATGCACTCATGTTGCATCATAAAGATACATACTCGTATTCAGCCCTGCACGCACACGTGTAACCAAGGTGCGATGCAGGGAGTAATGTGAGAGGACAGGTGAAGCGCCTGGGGGTATAACCTTACCCAGGGGGAAAAAAAATTCGGGGGCTTCTTTTCAAGCTCGCGTGCATGAAAATAGCACTCTAAAATTTGGTTTGCATTGAACTCTATGCAAATTTACGGGGGCTCTTTTTGGCATTTCGGGGGCTAAATCGCCGCGCGAGCCTCCGTGTATTTTCTTCACTGCCCTTACCTGATGCAGTGCCGTCAAGCCGTCTTCGTTAGTCACATCAGGACTCACGCCTGCCTTCAACAACCGCCGAACTGTAACAGCAATCACAGCGACAACGTCAACGACAATTAACGATGTGATGTCGGCCCCCTGTACATCGACTGCACTACGACGTCGCCTAGTTTCTTAAATGTCAATCGAAAATTAGATAAACCTGAGATTTTCTTCAGGAGAATGTCAAATTTCTTATTAGATTTAGAACAGCAAATAAGATATACTAACAGTTACTAAAATAGATATAATAAACTAATAATGTATTTTCACACACATGCGCGTACACGCGCAGACACATAAACATGTATTGATCTATCGATCGATTCCAGAAGGTTACTTCTATCTACATGTTACACACTTCATAAACGTTTTTGCGGCGAAGGAGAAATACGGCATTGGCGCTAGCTAGGCATTTTGTTATAATGTGTCAACTGACGTTCATGCAGCACCAACAGCTGTCTGCTCAAATAAACACTCGTAATTAGTGAATGTACACTATCGTTGCAGCACATCGACACGCCGTCGGGAAGTTCGTCACCGGCGTACGACGAGCTTATATATGTTTACTAGCTATTACCCGTCCTCCAGACGGGTTTGAGTGGGGTCTGATTTGAGGATGGCGGTTTAACCATTTATCTCTCACTTTTAGTTGAGGATGTATTTACAGTAAACGAAAAATACTGATATTTAAACTCGAGTCATATATCCATATTTTACCTTAAAATTACCTTCAATTTTTCAAAAAAAGGGAAATGGGGTAATTTCATGGTACAATTTCACTTATTTAGATATTATTTGTGAAAATATCATTCTGGTTATAAGCATCATTAATAAGTCAAATTCTTAAAAAAAAAGCAAAATGCATTGAGTAGTTTTGAAGATATATTTCTTTGAAAGTCAGTGGACGGCGGCGGGCACGGTTACACCTCCCGTTGTCAAATAATTGCACACACGCGCGCACACACACACATCACACACACGCGCGCACGCACGCACACACCGCATTCACACACACACGGTTTGTCTTTATTTTTCGCTTCACAGCTGTGCGCGGCAGTGATTGGCTGTTTATACACCGCAGCCGCAATGTCTTTGGTGTGTGCGTGTGTGCGCGTGCCGGTGTGCGTGCGTGCGTTCGTGCGTGCGTGTGTTTAGTGTGGCTTGCTATGCTAGGTGAAGGCTCCACCTAATTAAATGCTTATTATTATATCTTTAATCTACATTTAGTATAGCGATATTATCATTAAAACCCGTGAGAAAACACATTAATAGTTTCACACAATTTCAAAAAGTTATGGTATATATAGTGTGGTGTGTGTGTGTG